AAAAGGACAACTGGCCGATGTACTTACTAAAGTGCTCAATAGTACAGACTTTCGAAGAATTATAGCCAAGTTGGGAATGGAGGATCTCTATTCACCAGCTTGAGGGGGAGTGTTGGAAAACGTGGGATTACTGGTGCAGATCTATATTTGGTAGTTGTGTAAAAATAGAATTGTATATATTTCTAGGATTGTGGAAGGATTGATTTAGAAAATTTTTTCTTTCTATTCTTGTACTTTCTATTTTATTTTCTTTCTATTTTTTTCTTCTTTCTATTTATTGCAGCAGCTTACTGTATAAATATGCCAATTGGCAATAGAATGAAACACATCAGTATTCTACCATTCCAAAACAATAATACTAACATAAAACAAGTTGATAGGAATTTTTGGAAATGCAGAACATTAGAAAGGTGGAGTCCAAAAGGAAGTAAGGTGGTTCCTTAACTAGATATGTTGGAAAAAGAGCCATCAGCTGGTTTCACCTTATCCCTACCAAAGAGGAGATGATAGAACTGAGAGCAATTTGACTTACCAGTCATATGGTTCGAAGCTCCTGAATCAATTATCCAAGGAGAGTCAGGGAAATCAGAAGTCACATGGAAAGTCATGCCAGAATTACTTGATGTAAACGCAAAGGAAGTTGATGAGGTAGGGGTAGAGTTATCCATCTAACAAACTACACTACCGTATAACTCCAAATGGTCACAGGAGGAATTGATAATATCTTCCTTAGGAATAGAACCAGAAGCACGTTCCTAATTCACAGTAGATAACAAAGTTTCCTAAGTAGCCATATTTGTTGCACTAGATTTCTTTGGACCCTGCTGTCCTATCTTCTTATTTTGGTCTAAACAGATTTCTTGCTTAACTCTTGAGACCATTTTGGTTTCCCATGAAGCTCCCAACAAGTGTCACAAGTATGCCTAGACTTCCGACAGTGAGTGCACCATAACTTATCTTTGTCATCCTCTTTCTTCTGAAATTCCCCCTTCTTAAATGAATTTCCACCACCTAACTTGCATCACTTTTTGCCACCAAGGCCATTGATTCACCCTCAAAATTATTCATCAAACTTCTCATACTCAGACTACACTAGGGCATACACTTCTTGGTCTGATGGAAGGTCCTTACTTCCTAAGATCTGAATCCAAATAGATTCATCTGCAAGATTCAGTCCCAAGAGAAAGGCGAACACCCGTTGCTGTGAGACAAGCTTCTTGTAGTCTTGTGCATCCTCATCACACTTCCAATTCATATTTTGATAATGGTCTAGCTTTTTCTAGATAAAGGTCAAGTCAGAGTAATATACAAAAAGACTTCTCTCCCCCTGTTTGCAAGTATATGATGTTGCTCGCAATTGATAAATTTTGGCAAAGTGTCACTGATCAAAATAGGTAGACTTGGCTTGTTCCTAGGTTTCACATGTTGTCTTTGCCCACATGAAATTCCTCCTCACTTGAGGATGTATAGATACTAACAGCCATGACATGACAATGATGTATTCATGGTTCCATTTTTCATGCTTTGCACTTCGAGACCTAAGTTATTTAATCTTCCCGTTGATATTGCTATACAGTATATGCCCTTAGCTCCAATCATATTAATGTACATATACATTTATTGTAAATGAATAAAAGTACATTATTGTTTTATATTAATATTGGTATGTTTCTATGTATTTACCCCTTAAATTGGACACTTATGAGACTCGTGTTAGTTTAGAATGTTCTTGGCCGTTGGATAGACTTGGGGAGTTTATCCTGCCAAGGCTGACACTAATGTGCTGCCAAAGAAGTTGGGGCAGCTTGTCTCAGCTGCTAGGGTGTGTTTGGATGAAACACTGAACCCAGACCACTCTAGTCCACAATGGAGTAGACTTATATATATATATATATATAGATAGATAGATAGATATAATGGAGTAATTTTGTACAAGCATTACATTCTAACAGAAAACAAGTTGAAGTCTTTAATAGTAGGAAAAAGATTTGGTAGCTTGTTCATTAACAAAAGATGTGGTGGCCTTGGAGCAGAACAGGAGTTTTTTTTTTAATTCAGTTTAAGTGGGATAATATAGGTGGGGAAGATGATGACAATGATAATACTGATGACAGCTATGCTTCTTGTACATTTTTCTATGACATTAAAATGTTTGTGGTGTCTTGCAGATTGCAACCTGTTCCAAGTGCCGCTACAAGTATGAGCTTGTTTCTGGAGATGTAGTTAGTATTGAATCAGAAGAAATCAGGTTTTATTTCTATTATTGTATTACTCAATGTATTTCTTGTTATAAAAAATCAAATCTCAATTGATAAATTTATCCACTGGATGTGTTTCTATATGACACATTTCAATGTTGCTGGAGTGTTTGTTTACTTTTACCCAAGTCAGTTCTGTAGAGTTGTGAATTAGAATGCCTACTCTCCAAAGATCCCAAATATGGTAAAGCGCAAGCAACATATCACATGAATTTCCAGATTCCAACACTAGTTAGTGTCTTTGGTGTTTGAGCTGTTTTTTTTTTAAAAGAACCTACTGTTTGGTGGCTTATATATCATGTGATCCAGCATTTGTAACAATCAGAGACATTTAATCTATAGCCATGCCAAACACCTTATTTTCTTTCCTTGATTTATCTTGTCTAGTTTTGGTGCCAAAGCAATGTGCTTACCTATCACTTCAGGAAATTCTATTCTGATGTAACAAAAATCAGCAAAAAATGTTTAATGTTTTTTTTTGGTTGATCCAAAAAATCTTTACTGTTTTAGAATAACCTGTGATACAATATTATTATAATATAGTTACTAATATCATTCTTCTGTGTTTTCACTCATAAGATGTATTTGTGTATGGTGTTGATCTTGCGATATTCACTTTCTCTAAGGATCTCCTCCTGACGAACGCAGCATGGACATTCCAGCATGGGAACGATGGTTAAGATTCCTGCAAGTAATGAAACAGAGCATTCCTGCTGCTGTTCATTCTATTGTGGTAAAGACTTTCTTGATAGCTAATTTGTTTGATGCTTTTATTTTTCATGTATATTTGTTGAAGCCTCTAAAATAGCTTTCGAACACAATCTTTTAAACTTCAATGCAATTATATCTGACTTCTAGTTTATAACACTTTTTTTTTGTAGAAAAATGTGTTCCAAGTATTTTTTTATCAGTAACATTTAAAATTTTATTAATGTATAAATAAGAAGTGCACAATAAAGTACCAAGTACCCCTTGTAGGTAGCTAGCCTCAGCTATCTGCCCTTGAAAATGTGTTCTCCTATTGCCAATCAATGTGTCTGTTAAACTAAGACAGCCCAGATACGAATACAGAAATGGACACAGATATGGGAAACAGGGATGTTTTTCTGTTTCTTTAGATTAACTAGTAAAAATATCCCATTCAATATGGTGATTACCGTGCTATAGTGTTTAGATTTTTGAAGCTAAACATCATTTTTCAATGCTCATATTTTGTCAGATATAATAAAACTTCTAACATCCAACGAATTGTTCATACTCTATTCCATTAAATATAAGGTTTACATATTTTTAGGAGTGTTCCTGCTACAAAATATATTCCTATCAGGCAGTGATTTAAAAGGCACGCCAAGGCGGTGCACAGGCAAGGCGCATTTTAGGGTATGTACCTCACCCAGGTCCTAGGCACACGCCTGGTGCACATAGGCATGCGCCTTGTGCCTCAGCCCAGGCGTGCGCCTTTTTAAGAATTTTGCGCTTTTTGTTTTTTTGAGTCTAACGGCTGGGCCGGGGGCTCTGCCCCCGGACCCCCAATCACGCCCCTCGAGGCAAGCCCGAACAAGTCTATGTTAGGGTCTGAAATTCTTATTTCTCCTGTTCTTTCGCTCACTGAAGCTCCGGGAACCCCCTATTTGCTAATGTTGTTCATTCATTCATTGCAATAAAATATCTTCTTAAAAAGCATTGAAAGTTATAAAATCATTATTTTTTTTATGTGAGAAATAAGAATTTCAGACCCTAACATAGACTTGTTCGGGCTTGTCTCGAGGGGTGTGGTACAAAGGCGACTCATTGAATCAAGAATGCAATATGTTTTACATCATATTAGCTACTTGAAGCAATGCAATTAAGGAAAAAAGAGATTGTGGGTTTACATGCTTAAAAATGATTTATATGTTTGCTTTTATTTTTAAATTTTCATTTGAATATGCTTTACATGTTATGTTTATGTATTTTAATTTTAGATAATAGGTTTTTTAAAACATTTATTTTAAAATTTAAGTTTATATTTTTATTAACATTATGTTTAATATTTTTTGAAAATTTTGCATTTTTAATTTTTTTTTTTGAATTTTCTGACTTTTTTTTTGAATTTTTAGCTTTTGTAATTTTGCGCCTCGCCTTGCGCCTTGCGTCTTAGGTGCAAATTGGCCCTTGCACTTTTAAAACACTGATATCAGGTACTTACCATGTTTGACATGGGTACGTTAAACATATACAGGTATTCTGGTGTTCTAGCTGTTAAAGTGTTCAGTGATCTTGTCAGATATAATAAAACTTCTAACATCCAACGAATTTTTCATACTCTACTCCATTAAATATAAGGTTTACATATTTTTAGGAGTGTTCCTGCTACAAAATATATTCCTATCAGGTACTTAGCATGTTTGACATGGGTATGTTAAACATATACAGGTATTCTGGTGTTCTAGCTGTTAAATTGTTCAGTGATTCTGTTGATTGTTTAGAATCTTTTTTAGGCATATGCTTCACTGCACAGTGCCAAGCCATACTAACTTTCTATTTTTCTGATAATCCTTTGCACTATTTCAGGTTCAAACTCCTTCCAGAAATGCTCGTACATACAGGTTTGCTACAAAAACAGTGGAACTTCCTGCACAAGAAGGAGAAAGGATAACCATCTCTCTGGCAGCTCCTCCAAATATTTATCGGGATGTAGGTCCCCTTCGACTTAACCCAAAGGTTCCTGGTTTCAACCCTGGAGAGCCTATTTGTCTGACAAACCACACAAATGGACAGGAATCACAGTTGCTAAGAGCCCCTATAAAGAATGGAAGTTTATCTCTACTTAGTCCCTCTGTCCTCTTTCCTGCTCTTGTGGTGCTGGCTACTGGGGATGCTGCATCTGGGATAATAAATCCCAGCTTGCCCCAGTTCATTTTTGCCACTGCCGTTGCATCGCTTGCCATTGGAACTACTGTAAATGGTTTAGTTTTGCCACAATTGAGTCGGGTACGTAGAACCATTTTCTCTCTGGAATCTTCTTTTCATGCTTATGATGTATGCACAGGGGAGGGGGAGGTGTTGCACACTTCTGTGGTCCTACCTAGGAGTTCTCTGAGATGAAATTGGCCTGGACATACAGTTGCAGTGATTTGATGAAAGGGTTTCTTCTCAGGATTTTTCTAAATACATTCTAGCTATGTAAATGATTGTGTCAGGTGGTTAAAATCATTTAGTTGATTTTGACCTAAGATTGTTGTATCTGTGCATTTTTTTAGCATCAAAAAAATTTTCAAAAATAACTGTATCAAAACAGCTACTGTTTGTTAAACTAATCAGAACTGTCAGACCTTATTGTTAACTTTTAATTCTTGAAGTGCTTAGCACAAGAAAAATTCAACATGGATGAATAAGCATCTCTTCTTATGTATCAATACTTTTGGCATGGTTCTAGCTTCCTGAGAGAATGGTTGATGCAGTTGCCATCAAGCAGCAACTTTTATCTCAATATGATGTACTTCAGGCCCGCATTAAGGATCTAAGAGAAGCCACTGAGAAAGAGGTAATAAATCTGTGCAAGTGTATTCAACTATCTTCCTTTTGAGACTGAGTTGAAACGTGCAATGAAAAGTTAAAGAGAAGGATACATTTGAAATTTTATAACATTGAGGGTGGTGATCTGGGGAACTTTTGGTATGTGATGCTGTAATGAACCACTGCAGCCAAGGCAGCTGAACTGTGAATCATTGACTGGTCAACACCTAGGAAATGACCGGTCAACTTGACAGATCAGCTTTCACTTGAATTGTGTTATCTCATACTTTACCTGTACATAGCACACATTACTTCAAGTATCTTTTTAAAGCCAAAACAAAAGAAGAAAAGTATATAACCAAGTTGTCCAACTGGGGTTCATCACCCAATTAGTGGTCTAGTCAGGCACAAGAGTCATCAAAACTCTAGGTAGTCAACTAATCCAAACTTTGGCTGGATAGTTTGAGTTGAAAATTACACCTACAGTAATTCAGATAATGCAATAAAAGAAGAAAAGAGAGAAAGATAAAGAAGAAGAAAAGAAGTTTCAGCAATAGGTTGTGGAAGAAGAAAAGAAGGGAAGAGAGAAAAGAAGAATTCGAACCTCTCTCTCTAGCCCCCTTTTCATCACTTTTATTAATACTTCTAAGTCTGCGTACAATTACTTGGATGCCCTTAATGGGGCAACCAGCACTAAAGAAATAATTAAAAAAAAATAAAAGAAGGCCCATAACTAAGAAACATAACTTTTAAACACTACTAAAAAGAAATAATGAACACTAGGGCCCATTCTCACTACACTATCAAGCTGAGCATAGATGTCAATCATGCCCAACTTGCTTACATAATGTTGAATCTTTGCCTTTTGGGACTCCCTTAGTTAGAAAATCTGATAATTGCTCTTCTGATACAATGAAAGGTAGGCACACCTCTCCTGAAGCCACTCTCTCCCGTATAAAGTTTCTATCTACCTCAATGTGCTTAGTTCTATCATGCTGAACTGGGTTGTGAGCAACGTTAATAGCAGCTTGGTTATCACAATACAACATCAGCGGCTCATCACATGAAACACCCATCTCATTAAGGAGAGATCTAAGTCATAACAACTCAAAAAAACCATGGGCCATAGTTATATACTCTGCCTCAATTGAAGATCTAGCAACTACTAACTGCTTTTTGCTTCTCCAGGAAACAATATTTCCGGCTACCATAGCACAATATCCTGATGTGGATCTTCAATCATCTACATTTCCTGCCCAATCAGCATCTGTATATGCTTCTACTTTCTTGTGTCTATGTTTAGCAAATAATATACCCTCCCCGGGGGTTCCCTTAAGGTAGCATAACACCCTTTTTGCAACAGCCATATGTGTGTCTCTAGGAGCATGCATGAACTGGCTGATGACTCTCACAGCATATGAAATGTCTGACGAGTCATATATAGATAAGGAAGTTTCCCTAGTAATCTCTAAAACACTCCCCTGTCAGCTAAAAGTTCATCATTAGCTGAGAGTTTAGGATTCACATCAATAGGGGTAGAGGCAGGTTTAGCACCAAGTTCCAGTCACAGTAAAAAGGTCTAGCACATACTTCCGTTGAGAAATAAAGATACCTTCTTTGGACCTAGCAACCTCAACGCCCAGAAAATACCACAACTCCCCTAAATTTTTAATTTCAAATTCAGAACTGAGAAACTTCTTGAGAGCACTAACTTCTTCTGTATCACTGCCAGTAACCATAATATCATCTACATAAACTATAAAGAATGTCACAAGAGTGCCTTTTCTCTTAAAAAAGAGGGTATGATCTGATTAAGTTTGAGTGTAGCCGAACTGAACAAGAGCAGCCCTAAACCTGTCAAACCAAGCACGTAGAGATTGTTTCAGGCCATAAAGTGATTTCTTCGATCTACACACCTTACCCTGCATTTCCTTGCCATATATACCAAGAGGAAGGGACATATATACCTCTTTAGTGAGATCACCATTCAGGAATGCATTCTTAACATCAAATTGATACAAAGGCTAATCATAGCTCACGACTAAGGATAAAAGAACACTCACCGGAGTCATTTAGCAATTGGAGAAAAGGTCTTAGTGTAATCTATCCCATATACCTGGGTATATCCCTTGGCAACAAGCCGAGCCTTATACCTCTCAATTGACCCATCTGCACGATACTTGATAGTGAAAACCCATTTGCACCCAACAGGTTCCTTCCCAGTTGGCAAGTCAACAATATCCCAGGTGTTGTTTTTATGAAGGGCTTCTATTTTAGTACTCATAGCATCCCTCCAATCTGGTATGGCTAAGGCTTCTAAAACAGACTTTGGGATGGATTGAGAGGAAATGAAGGCTAGAAAGGCATAGTAGGATGGGGACAACTAACTGTAGGAAAGGTGTCTGGAAATACAATGAGTTGTACATTTCCTCTTACCTTTTCTCAAAGCAATGGGTAGGTCAAGGTCTGGAAACAAGGGTGCTGGTGGAGGAGGTGATGGACATGTCCTTTCTTTAATAATCGAGAGCATCTGAGTCTCAACTAGAGGTGTGGGATCAATCTGTGTTTGCCTTAGCCTTTGCCGCCGATACCACCTCAGGAGAATAGGATGAGTAGAAACAACTGGAGGACTAGTAGGAGGGGGAGTAGGAGCGGAAGACCTCAAAGGAGAAGATCCCTCCACGGGAATGGGGGTAACTATGGAGGGCTCGATACAAGACTCAACTGGAGTTGGCAAAGGAAGGGATGAAGAAAACAACTCGAGAGATCTCTCCCCCTCAGAAGGATGGCTATAAAAAGGAACTGACTCTGCAAAGGTGACATCCATGGAAATGAACCAAGTGCCACTAATGGGATCAAAACAACAGTACCCTTTCTGTGTAGAGGCATAACCAAGGAAGATACACTTTTGAGCCTAGGGGTCAAACTTGTGTCTTTTGGAATTGAGAATATGGACATAACAAGTGCAACCAAAGACCCTCAGAGGAATAGAGAAAATCTCAACATCAGGAAAGAGGACTCCAAAGGGAGATTTTAACCCCAAGACTCGATATGGCATGTGGTTAATAAGGTATGTAGCTGTTAAAACTGCATCACCCCAAAACTTCATAGGAACATGGGTCGTAAAGAGAATGCTCCTTGCAACTTCTACAATATGTTTGTTTTTCCTCTTCACTACATTTTGTTGTGGAGTGTTGGCCAGTGATTTAAAAGGTGCGTCTAGGCACATAGGCGAGGCACATTTTGGGGTATGCGCCTCGCCCAGGTCCTAGGCGCACCTCTTTCAAAAGGCACGCGCCTGGTGCGCCTAGGTGTGCGCTTGATGCGCCTTTTTAAAATTTTGCGCTTTTTGTTGTTTTTTGAGTCTAACGGCTGGGTCGAGGGCTCCGCCCCCAACCACGCCCCTCAAGGCAAGCCCAAACAAAGCTATGTTACCGAAGCTCCGAGAACCCCCTATTTGCTTATGTTGTTCATTCATTCATTGCAATAAAATATCTTCTTAAAAGGCAATGAAAGTTATAAAATCATTATTTTTTATGTGAGAAATAAAAATTTCAGATCCTAACATAGACTTGTTTGGGCTTGCCTCGAGGGGCGTGCTACAAATGCGACTCATAGAATCAAGAATGCAATATGTTTTACGTCAAATTAACTACTTGAAGCAATGCAATTAAGGAAAAAAAGAGATTGCGGGTTTTACATGCTTACAAATGCTTTATATGTTTGCTTTTATTTTTAAATTTTCATTTGAATACACTTTACATGYTATGTTTATGTATTTTAATTTTAGATAATAGGTTTTTTAAATCATTTATTTTAAAATTTAAGTTTATACTTTTATTAACATTATGTTTAATATTTTTTATTTTTTTTGCATTTTTTTTAATATTTTTGGATTTTTTTGACTTTTTTTTATTTTCTAGCTCTTTTTTTTGTAATTTTGCGCCTTTCTTAAAAAGGAGATAAGGTCAAATTACTAATTGAAAGCAAATTGGTATTAAGTTTAGGTACATGAAGAATAGATGATAAGGTCAAGGCATTAGAGGTCTTAATGTCTCCCTTTCCTGTGATAGGGGCTAGGGAGCCATCAGCAAGGTATATCTTATCCCGTCCAGAAAGAAGTTGGTAAGAGGTGAATAACTGCGAAACACTGGTCATATGGTCAAAAGCACCAACCAATTATCCAAGGGGTTTTATACCTGAGACAAAAGCATGATGTGCAATAGCATGGATACCTGAGTGAGCATATGCAAAGGAAGGAATAGTCTCTAAAGGAGCTATGGCAGTGGACTCTAAGTGACTGATGATTCGGCCATACTTCTCATATTCAGCCCTAGTAGCTGCAAGTTGTTCTCCCACTGACTTCTCTCCACCCTGTCCTTGTTCACTTTGTGAAGAGGTGACTACATTTGCATTTCCACATTTTCCAACTTCAACCCTTTTCCCACCATTTTCTTTCTTGAATCTGGTAGGAACAAGCTTTGGATGCAGCTTCCAACATGTGTCTTTAGTGTGTTTAGGCTTCTTGCAGTATTCACAAATAACATCTTTCTTCCCGTTGCTAACCTTTGGCTTCATCCCCACATTAGCATAGTGATCAACCTACGACTCAACAGATTGAATCTGTTTTCTACTCTCCTCATTGCTCACCATAGTATATGCCTGAGACAAAGTCGCCTCGTCCTTTGCTAAAACATTCTATCTCACTATCATACTCTGAGTTGAGTCCGATGAGGAACTCAAAGACCCGATTTCTCTCCACCAACCTCCTATATGTTTCAACATCCTTTGTGCAACCCCAAACAATAGTCTCCATCAAACTAATCTCTTGCCAAGGAGATTTCAGCATAGAGAAGTAGACTACTAAGGGCTTCTCCCCCTGTTTAAGATTATTCACATCATGCTTCAATTTGTAGGCCCAAGCAACATTAAGCTTTTGGGAATAGGTCTCTGTGACACTATCCCACACTTCTTTTGCAGTTTTAATCCACAGGTAATGCTGACTAATGTGTGGTTGCATAGAATTCACTGACTAACCCACTACTGTGTAGTTTTCCTGTATCCACCTTTCATAAGTAGGATCATCCTCCTCCGGTTTCTTCTTGCTCCTAGTAATTTTCCTCTACTACACACATGTATCTTAGTAGATTGAGACCAAGCTAAATAATTGGTCCCATTTAACTTCATAGTAGTCACAACCCCAAAAAGATTCTCCATTAACCCCCTATGTCCAAACCCAGAATCTGCGGAATATTTAGTCTCTCCTCCAGTTTGCTCCATTGAGTAAACGGATGCAAACGAAAATCAAATTAGGGCTTTACTAGGCTAGATTTACTGTTCTAAGCAAAGAACAACCTCTCGTCCCCCCAAAATTAGGGTTTCACAAGGTCTTGCGGGATGGAGAGAAAGAGAGAAACTTCAACCGCCCCTTCCAGAGGTTCCATAATTCAATCCAACCAAAACCGCCCCTAATAGAAATCAAAAGGCTTACCTCTGGTCCCCAAGTGCCTGGTTCAAACTGTCTCTACGACCTGTAACAAGGTTTCTCCAGTTATCTAGGGTTTTCGGGGAAAATCTCCAAGAACCTACCCTAAGCTTCAACTAAGGATGAAAAACCTCCACAAAACTCTCCAAAAACCTTCCTAACTAGGCTGCATAAGTAATTGATTGATCAACCGATCAGTTTTCCATACATACTATGTATGGGCAAAGAAAGGAGAAAAAAGTCGAAAGTGGGAACCCACTCTGATACCAAGTTGAAAATTACACCTACAGTAATTCAGATAATGCAATAAAAGAAGAAAAGAGAGAAAGAGAAAGAAGAAGAAGAGAAGTTTCAGCAATAGGTTGTGGAAGAAGAAAAGAAGGGAAGAGAGAAAAGAAGAATTCGAACATCTCTCTCTAGCCCCCTTTCATCACTTTTATTAATAATTCTAAGTTTGAGTACAATTACTTGGATGCCCTTAATGGGGCGGCCAGCATTAAAGAAATAATTAAAGAAAATAAAAGAAGCCCCATAAGGCCCATAACTAAGAAACATAACTTTTAAACACTAAAAAGAAATAAAGAACACTAGGGCCCATTTGGCCCATTCTCACTACAGTTTGTATGTAGACTGAAAACATATAAGTAGCTTATATATGATGGACTAGTTGAGCAACAGGTTCAATTGTTCCAATATTTGATTAGTGTATGTAGACTGAAAACACATGCGTAGCTTATATATGATGACTAGTTTAGCAACAGGTTCAATTGTTTTAATGTAGACTGAAAACATATACTTAGCTATATATGATGACTAGAAGAAAATATAAAAAGAGAAAAGAATCAAGGAATTTGAAACGCATTCTCTTTGATCATCATTATCTGTTTCCATTCACCATTGTTTCATTCAAGGTTAAATTCAATCTTACATATAAACTACAGATCTTCACTAGGAATCTCCTTATATAAAGATACCAATATGGCATACACATGTATGTACATTAACGTCAGATTAGAACATACCATTCAATAAGGACAATCGTTGCTATCTCTTTAGGAAACATCAAGATCAAATCTAGATATAAAATGTTAACTTGGATCATTCTTCATAATTATTGTAGTTAGTAGAAGGTGGCAATTAACCAGATGGTTAAAAACATCTTGACTTTTAGTGCTGGAGACTGAGTCGAACTGGAGAAAAGATTGGTCCAGTTCCTCTGCTTGTATGGCAATACCTTTATTTCTATAAGAAACTTCTTTTTAAAAGAAATAAGGGTAGGGGTGAACCCTAATTACAGTGACTACTAAATCAACATCAACCACAGCTTACATATTGATTGCAAATTAAGAACTGCAAATGGTACAAGGCTCTTTTACAAGCATTAGCATGGATATTTAGATCCTGCTCTTATAGGGAGAGTTACCTAAATTGAGGCTCTATAATAAAGGTTTCCTTTGTAGGTTTGGATGTTGGCTCGGATGTGCCAATTGGAGAATAAAATTTTAGCTGTGGGAGAACCTTCTTATCGGTAAAACCCTTGAACACCTCTGTCATCTTTAAGATCATTGTTTGATTAATAAGATTGTTATCCATTAGTCTTTTGATCAAATTATACTCATAACAATAAAGAGGGTTAGCTTTCAAGGTCTCTTCATGGAAGTCATTATATCTTAGACAACCATTTTTTTTAGTGCTCGGAGAAGCAGAGTGCAAAGGGTACGTCAAAGTTTGGAGACTTCTATAATGGGACGGATTGAGTTGATTGATAGCTATGCAAGAGTACGTTTTTAAGGATAAAAGCACCTCTTCATAGTGCATTTTCAGCCATTTTCTTTTATTGATTGAAAATAATTGCTATTTGGTTTGGCAGATATCTTCAATGATTGAGATTGAGGTAGAAATGGACTCTGATGTTCTTGCTGCTGAAGCAGTGAGTAATGCGGTATGTACCACTACTTTATAATACAAATAAAATAATATCTCATCATATATTTGTCCTGCCTAGTAAATTTCAACAATTTTGTGCAGGAGAGTATTGCAGAGCAGATACAGCAAATCATGGAGCTAGAAAACCTTGAAGAGGCATGCCGTAGTTATTTGGGACCTTTGAGTTTAGAACTTGTTGCAGGAACACTGAAATGGCCTGATTGAGTTCAAGTTTACAAAACTTATAAATTAAAATGGAAATTTTGAGATTTCTTAAGATGCAAAAATCTGAAGCTTTGTTTATTTCTTTTTACTTATTTTGATTGGTAAAGAAAATTCCTTCACCTGGAAAGTGTATTTTTATTAAATTTCAGTTTTCGAGTCCTAGGTTTTACCTTTTCTCTAAATTGTTTAGTCTTATCTATTGGTTCCTCTAGTTTGCTTCTCAGTTCTCAAGGCTTTTGATTTTTTTTTTTCTTTTTAACAATAAACTCAAGATTTCCAAGTGATGAGTCCAGTTTGGTTGGGACATGATTCCATAACTAAATATTATTTTGCTAACATTGTATGTCCATTTAACCTTGCAGCGTTGGAGAATGCAAGCAGAGGCTAATGATGAAGTGGAAAGGCTCCTCAGTTCTCAGCCTGTGCCTACAGAATAGGTCTAGTAGCACATATACAAAGCATGGTTTGCCAATTTTCTTTACTCCGTATTAGTTTCCATGGGCGTATTAGAACGCATCACATCCCATGGCTATTTTCATGGTGCACCTCATTGGTTTGCCCTTGGAGATAACATTGGCAGAATCCATTGAAATTGAAGATTAATGGAAAGCATTACCGCCAGATTACTCTTCAAACCATAGAGAAAAATGCGCCATAATGAGTTGATCATGGAGAAAGGCAAGTAATAGGCGGCAATAAGTGGTAGATTTCTTTCAATGGGGCATCTGAAGATTGCTTTACTGGTTTGTCAGGTCACATTGATTGACCTAATCTCTTCATCATCTTGTATCAATCACGAAGACATGCTGGACCATGGTTCCTATGTAAACGATGTTTTGTTGATATCGTGGCCTCAGCTGTTACTTTTTTCTTTTTTTTTTTTTTTTTCTCAGTAACAGCATGCATATTTATTCCATGGAGCTGCTGGTGCTACAGCTTATTGTAATTTAAAATTGTTACTAAATCATTTGATGATTTCCAAAGTCAGATATCAGATAAATCCTTTTTCTTTAGACACGCTAGTAATAAAATTGAGCTTTACTGTTGAGTGAGTGTCAGTGATGTAGATAAACTTTGAGATAGGTATTTCATATATGTTTATAAGTTGGCTAGAAGGACTTGGGGCAGATCACAAAGGACAATGCTTGTTACACCATTTTCAAATATATAAATTCAAATGAGCAATGCTTGTTACACCATTTCGAAATATTTAAGGAAAGTATCTTTAAAGCCTTGTTACACCATTTTCGGCAAGTTATTCATTTGGGTAAGTGTTTATGCGGTAGATCATTCATCAGTGCCGTGGCGCAATGATCTTTTACACTTGGTGCTACCTAGGTTTTGCAAGTACAACTACCAAACAGGTGCGTGGATCTCCCTGATCGCCTTTATTGGACACTTGTCATTTGTGTTAAACAGTTACTCCCTACCCGGGACAGTCTACATAGATTCTCTGAGGCCATTAGTGATATTTGTCCAGATTGTCATAATGCCACAGAATCTATGCTCCACCTTCTTGTGATGTGCCCGGGAGCAAAAGCTATTTGGTTCGGATCTTCTCTAAATTTTTGACTTCATGACCCCTCATTTTTGAATATTTTGGACCTATTTCATTTTTTGTGGCACCATGGCTGATGAAGGACATGGTTTTTTTTTTCAAAGGCAGTATCTGTGTGAAACACATTTTGCATGCTAGAAATGAATTGTTGTTCAAGGGAGTTCCATTCAATCCTACGAATATTATCTACAAGGCTAATACCACCATTTCCTTTCTCACCACCTTTAGTCGTGGCTTACTAAATCAGCCTACACGGCTACACCTTCCCTTGCTCCATCTCACAGATTATGGTGTCAACCTCCGATTGGAGTGGTTAAAATTAATGTGGATGCAGCGGTGTCTTCTACTACTCTTGTTGTTGGTTTGGTTGCTGGAGACCATTGTGGTTAGTTTCTTTATGCTGGAGGCATTCCTATTAAATATTGTATTCTTGAGGAATCTGAATCTAGAACTTTCCTTCATGGTTTGCCCTTTGCTGAAGAATTAATTCTTTTCTCTTCGATCATTGAAGGCAATGCTAAGAATATTCTTCAGTTTCTATTGGATGATCAGTTTGATCCACCATGGCGGTTGCGCACTGTGTTAGCCGATTGCAGGACTCTCATTAGTAGCCTTCCTTCTTGCTCAGTTGCTTTTATTCCCCATAGTGCAGATTGTGCGGCTCATTTGTAGCTAAGAAAGCTTTCTCTCACTCGCATATATACTTGGACTACTTTACCTGGGTTTCTTTCTTCTATTTTGGAAAGGGACATTAACTCTGGTTCTGAGCATAGTTGAATGAATTGGCCCACGGGCTTCCTAAAAAGAAATTCCAGGAAAAATAAGTTTTTCATAAACCCCACATAAATATAAAAATAGAACATGGGTTTTTTTAGTCAACGGGAACTAAAATTCCTTTAACCTACTTGCCCCTCTTAAAATAAAAAAGAAAACGAACTAACCCTTAATTCAAATAATCGCTCACTAGATTTATTTACCCGAATCTATATGCACATTATGTGATAGATTGTAAATACAATATGTTCTTGCAAAAAATACATGACTAAGGGGGTGTTCTGTAGTGTGGATGAGAAATTGGTGAGTGTAGACAGGTCCACACCACACCCCATTGCAAGAACCAATCCACATCACACTATATTTCACAGTTGTTCTGAACTATGGATAGAATGTATGGACAGAAGCAATCCACACCCATAGTGGCATTCTTTAGGCATGGTGTGAATCATTCCACACCACACTTTTTGATTCCATGTATCTCATATATAGTTTATGAAGAATTTACACAATTGATCATAAATATCTAAATTTTACAATTTATATGACAAACGAATTGGAAGAAGGGCTTTAGCAATGGAATTTGTTTTTAAATTGGTCACGGGTATATGCCTTGTTATGTGTGTTGTTGAATTTCTCGACAATATATTTCCAACCATCATTGTTGAATGTTGAGGTGGGTCTATTGTGAGCCTTCACTTGATCTACCATCAATTTAATGAATGACAGTTCTTTGGCCTCACTCCATGTGGTCGACTAATTAGTTCTATCTTCATGCACTACTTCAAACTAAAAGGCCATATATGTTTATAGAATAGGATAGGAATGGATTTGTTAGATAATGTTTGCCTTTAGCTCCAATCAGATTGATGTACAGATACATTTATTGTAAATGAATAAAAGTACATTATAGTTTTATGTTGATATTGATATGTTTCTATGAAATTACCCCTTAAATTGGACATTTATAAGACTCGTGTTAGTTTATAATGCTCTCAGCCATTGGATAGACTATAGGAGTTTATCTTGCCAAGGTGGACACTGATGTGCTGCCGAGGTTGGGATAGTTTGTCTCAGCTGCTAGGGTTAGATCCAAAGCACATGTAGTGTGTGTTTGGATGATACACACTAAACCCGACCATTTTTTAGTTATGCCCTGAACCTTGTAAATTGATGGGCAAAACTGGAAAGTTACACATAACCTCTAGACTTGATTATGGTACTACACTAGGTGTTGGATTGGGTTATCTTTGATATGCCAACCAGTGATTGCCAACTGATGTAACCATTTTGGGTCACGTACCATTTTTTGTGATGTATAAATTTTTTTGGCTAAGTACCTCGTTATTTGACCCGGTGGTGACGTGCCTTGGTGATGAGCTACTTGGTGACGAACTCCCTGGTGGAGAACTGCCTGGTGGCGAACTCCTTGGTGGAGAGCTACTTGGTGACGAACTGCTTGGTGGCGAACTCCCTGGTGGAGAATTGCCCGGTGGCGAGCTCCCTGGTGGCGAACTGCTTGGTGGTGAGCTCCCTGGTGGTGAACTGCTTGGTGGCGAGCTCCCTGGTGGAGAACTGCCTGGTGGTGAGCTCCCTGGTGGCGAACTGTCTGGTGGCGAACTGCCTGGTGGCGAGCTCCCTGGTGGCGAACTGCGTGGTGGCGAGATCCCTGGTGGCGAACTGCCTGATGGTGAGCTCCCTGGTAGCGAACTGCCTGGTGGCGAGCTCCCTAGTGGAGAGCTACTTGGTGGCGAACTGCCTGGTGGTGAGCTCCCTGGTGGCGAACTGCCTGGTGGCGAGCTCCTTGGTGGTGAACTCCCTGGTGGACTCGTCATTTGACCTGCTCCTAGGCGGCCTGCAACTCAGAGGATGGTGGAGCTCCCTGGTGCAGCACAACCCGACTACCCTCTGCATGAGGTGATTTCTTCTCCTTTGTAGGTGGCGGGAGCTGAGGGACCTGCGAGAACTGAATCAGAGGACCCATGGATATTTTCCCGACGGGGACTCTCTGATGCCTAAGTTAGCATTCTGATTACAGAGAGCTTGGAGAGAAATGAGAGAGCTAGAGAGCAGGGGTTACCATCCTTTTTCCCCCCCTTTGGCTTTGGGGGTCGGAGTCCTTATATAGTGGTG